ATTTCTATTATTTTAATTTTTTATTTTTACCTACGTGACTTTATTTCTATTATTTACATTTTTATTTTTACCTACGTGACTTTACCGTAAAAAACCTAAGAGGAATGAGGACACGCAGGATCGCCGCGTCCGTAGAAACAAGTGAACCTGGAGGAGCCACTAGTTATGATCTAAGGCAAGACACAGAAGCAGAAGGAAGGGAAAGAGTAGAGAGAGGAAAGGCAGGCAAAGGAGTATATTGGTTAGGTCATCAAGAGGTTAAGAAATGAGACCCACAGCTTCCTATTAACAGCATAAGAATATGATAATAGGTTTTCCGTTTTTTTCTGGCAACAAAACAGGTGTTAAGATGTTAAAACACCAAACTGAAACCTTTTACAAGGAATCGTGTCTGCATTAACCACAATACTTGTGGTCAGAATGCAAACAAAAAAAACACTGATAATATATGCATTGTCTTTGAAACTGATTGGTTCACACCAGAGACAGCTTTCTTTTGAGCCTAGTCTCAAAACGGTGTTAGATCAGAGGACGCCAAAAGGCGTACAGCCCAAGACAATGCACTATCAAGGACAGTGCATACATTATCAGAGTTATGTTTTTTGTTTGCATTATGACTGTAGGTATTGTGGTCTATGTAAACATGACTCCTTGTAAAAAAGGTGTCAGTTTTGTTGCCAGATAGAAGGGTAAAAAACCAATTATCATATTTTTTACTGGCAAATGAGGTTCCAATGAGGGAAATACTTCTTTCAAAAATTTGTATATTTTGTACATCCCATCAGCCAGATGGCGGATCCGAAGTGGATAATTTCAGCAGCATTGGTTCAACACAAGCGAAATTCTTGAACCAATTTCGACATCATAGCAACAGGGCTTGCCTGCCACAATGCCGGTGAACTGACGGGACGTTATAGTAGTCGGCGGACTGGGCCGGGCAGCTCTAATTTGAAGGAGCTTGCCGATGCTCGCGCAGCGCGGCGGCATTCGAGACGCGTCAGCCAGAGGTCGCAAACGGGTTTTGATTCCTTACCCGTACCCGGCCGCACCAGGGTCGCAAACGGGTACCCGTACCCTACCCGATACCCGGCTACCCGTACCCGGCCGGGTATCGGTTAGGGTACGGGTACCCGATTGCGACCTCTGGGATGAAGCCATGTTGCAGGCGCGGGAAGGGTTGATTCTAGGAAACTGAATTGTGAGAAGTGACAAGACGTTGGGAAATGAGTGACAAACGGTGACTCACCAGTGACTCACGGCCTACCCGTACCCGGCCGCACCAGGGTCGCAAACGGGTACCCGTACCCGGCCGGGTACGGGTAGCCGGGTATCGGGTAGGGTACAGGTATCGGGTACCCGATTGCGACCTCTGGGATGAAGCCATGTTGCAGGCGTGGGTGGGTTGATTCTAGGAACTTGAATTGTGAGAAGAGACAAGACGTTGGGAAATGAGTGACAAACGGCTACTCACCAGTGACTCACGGTCTATCCGTACCCGCACCAGGGTCGCAAACAGGTACCCGTACCCGTACCCGGCCGGGTACGGGTAGCCGGGTATCGGGTAGGGTACGGGTATCGACCTCTGGCATCAGCCCCGGCATCGCGCCGTGATGCGCCGCGTCAGCCCCCCCCTCCGACCACGCACCTGGACGCACGAAGTAGCAGTGGAGCGAGTGGGCGTGGAGGCCCTTGGCCACCGTGAGCCCGGCCGCCACCAGCGCCTGCCCCACGATCTGCCCGCCAAACAGCGTGTTTGACCGTGGCACCCAGGGATGCGACCCCCTACGCATGCACACGGACAAAAGAGATATCCCCCGGTGTAGCTTTAACAGGCCGCTGAGGCTAGTGCTGATCGGAGGCGCGGGGGAAGGAAAAACTAGACACCAAAAGCAGTTCTAAAAAAACTTCGTTTTCAATCTATCGGCTCTGAAGGCCGGCACAGTACACGAGGCGGTGGGTTGCTCGCACCACGCCCGGCCGCCTTTGTCTCCCTAGTGGAAATGATGTTTACACATCGCACCAGGTACCTATTTGAGGCTGAGTCGACCTAAGGGGAGGCCCAGGACCGGTTCAGATAATCGTCACCGGTGTTAGCCGTGAGCGGGAAACAAACCCGGATCGCCAAGTTCGTAGCGCGGCGCGCTACCCGCTACACTACCACTCACCAGTATACAAATGCACCACCATCACCATCAGAATCAGCGTCGATTTGACATTTGTGTCAATCTGTAGGGGTAAGGCTGCCACCGTCGAAGCCCCATTATCAACTTCATTGCCTGCCATGATCTATCCACTGCTGGACTGTTATGCAGTATAACGATCCACTAAGTGGTTGTATCAATCGCTGGACGACCTACTCAATGTAGCTCTCGTTTCAGGCATTCATTTTGTCAAATTTTATTTTCACTTTTGGTCGCTCAGGGCGCCCTCTGCCGCCGTATTTTGTTTTTCCATGACCACGTTTCAAATGTACGAAGACCACGTTTAAACTTTAAACGCTCTGTAGAGGCAAGCGCTGTTTGTGAGCGCCTATTTAGGCTGTGGTGGCACTTGCGTTCGTGAAGTCTCTATCCTTTTGTGTCTATCTCAATGAGCGTCTGTCTCTGTATCTGCATCTGTGTACTGTCAACCCATGTCTCTCCACAGATTCGACTTTTTCTGCCGAGTCCTGCCAGGCCGTAGCCATGGAGTCAACATTGGGGGGGACCAAATCTTCCAGGGGGTCTGGGGTCGTCGTCCCCCCCCCCCCCCAGAAAAAAAAATCAAAATTTGAAAACTCATTTCCTGCCTAAAATATGAAAAAATTCACTCACACATGGGATGGACTTTTCTTTTATTTTTTACAATAATGTCTAATAGTGTATTGTATTACATTGCTCTGTTTTAACTTTTTGACATTTTCTTGTTTCATTGTATGCAATGGCAGAGATTAGGGATTAATAAAGTACAACCATAACCACAATCATATGAACAGAAATCTATTGTATAGCAATATATTGGGGGGGGACATTTTGAGCACATTTGAATTTTTGGGGGGGGATGTGTTCCCCCCCCAATATATATTATAATTACAGCCTTGGAGTCCTGTATTTGTGTGTCTGTGTGTCTTTCCCTCTCATTGTGTGGATCGCATTGTCCCTCTGTCTGTCTGTCTCTGGAGGCCTCCTTCCCTTGTCTGCACACATCCTCAATTAGTCTTGAGACAGCCGTGCAGATAGACACATACACACAAACACACGAGGACAAAGACACACACAGACACACGGACACATACAGACGGGAGACACATGGAGACGTACATACAAGAGAGACACGTGTATGTGTCAGTGTCTTCACACGTGTAAGTGTGTCAGTGTGTCTACACACGTATACGTGAGTCAGTGTGTCAGTGTGTCTACACACGTGTATACGTGTGTTAGTGTGTATACGTGTGTCAGTGTGTGTGTGTCAGTGTGTCTGTGTGTGTCAGTGTGTGTCAGTGTGTATACGTGTCAGTGTGTCTGTGTGTGTGTCAGTGTGTCAGTGTGTGTACATGTCAGTGTGTCTGTGTGTCAGTGTGTGTACGTGTGTCAGTGTGTTTGTGTGTCTTTGTGTGTACGTGTGTGTCAGTGTGTGTACGTGTGTCAGTGTTTGTCAGTGTGTCTGTGTGTCAGTGTGTGTGTGTCAGTGTGTGTGTCAGTGTGTCTGTGTGTGTGTCTGTGTGTGTGTCTGTGTGTGTCTGTGTGTGTATCTGTGTGTGTGTGTCTGTGTGTGTGTGTCTGTGTGTGTGTCAGTGTGTGTGTGTCTGTGTGTGTGTCAGTGTGTGTCTGTGTGTGTCTGTGTGCAATGCGCACTGTCCCCAGCAGACAGCGACTGTGCCTCAGCGTGGCATCCGTGGGTCACTGTAGTACAGTACAGTGCACTGTACCCGGTATGATGAAGACACAAAACATTAACATTGAAACTTCCCCACCAACAACAACACCACCACCACCAACATCAACACCACCACCACCAACAACATGTTATCCATCCCCTTTTTAAATTTGATCGAAGACGCAAATCATTAACATCGCGGTTAAATTCCGCATCTTTAACAAGATGATAACCTCCCCCCCCCCCCTCGTTAACAACCACGTTAACATTAACATCTTGTTAACGACTAACACACATTTCGCTTTTGCTGCTCGCCAGACAATCGGCTGGCCCCGTAGCCCGCCGGTGGCAATTCCACGTTAGTGTGGCAGGCGCCGGCAGCGGTCGTTCCGCGCCGCACGGGGGGCGAACTCGCACCGGTACTCGTTTTATCGACCGTGATGATGATGATGATGATCATCATCATCGTCAATGCTGTTGCGTTTACAAATCATCTCCGATCAGCGGCTTAACGCCGTAAATAAATAATCACATTACGGCAACGCTAACGAAGAACGTTCAATAATCGTTTAACTTGTACGTTTTAAAATAAATAGAAGTTTAATTATAAAAAGATAACAAAGATGTGTGACCTGTAAAGGCCCTGGTCGATCTTCTCCAGGGTGAGGACGCTCGTCACCAACACGCTGCGCAGATCCTTCTCCTGCTCCTGCTGATCTTTAACGTCGGACATGTCGCTCGGCTGCTGTCAACACAACAAGATGTTGTTGTCGATGTTGTTGTTGTTGTTGTCTATGATATGTGTGTGTACTTTGTATGTGGCACGAGACGCGGGACTTTGTCGTCGTCTGTTTCGCCGCGTCTCGGTTCGTGGCCCCGCGCGGCTGAACCTTGAGACGCGCTGATGATGATGATGACGCAGAGTCGTGACGCTCGCAACAACCACAACAACTACAACAACATTTACAACAACAATTTATACAACAATTACAACAATTACTATAACAATTACTACAACAACCACAACAACAATTACTACAACTACAACAATTACAACAACAATTACTACAACTACAACAACCACAACAACAATTACTACAACAACAACCACAACAACAATTACTACAACAACTACAACTACTACAACAACAATTACTACAATTAATACAATTACAACAGTTAATACAACAACAATTACCACAACAACAATTACTACAACTACAACAATTACAACAACAACCACAACAATTACTACAATAACTACAACTACTACAACAACAATTACTACAACTACAACAACCACAACAACAATTACTACAAGTACAACAATCACAACAACAATTACTACAACTACAACAATTACAAAAACCACAACAATTACCACAACAATTACTACAAAAATTACAACAATTACTACAACTACAACAACCACAACAACAATTACCACAACAGTTACCACAACAATTACTACAACAATTACTACAACTACTAAAACAACCACAACAACAATTACTACAATTAATACAATTACAACAACTACAACAACAATTACTACAACAATTACAACAACCACAACAATTACTACTACTACCAACAACTACTACAACAATTACTACAACCACTACAACACTTACTACAACTACTAGTACAACAATTAATACAACAACCACAACTACTACAACAACCACAACAACAATTACAACCATATCAATTACAACTACAACAATTACATCAACTACTACAACTACAACAACCACAACAATTACAACCACAACAATTACAACTACAACAACTACTACAACAACCACAACAACAATTACTACAACGTCAACAACTACAACAACCACAACAACTACTACGTCAACTACTACTACAACAACAACCACAACAATTACTACAACAATCACAATTACAACCACAACAATCACAACTACAACAACTACTACAACAACCACAACTACTACTACAACAACCACAACAACTACTACGTCAACTACTACTACAACAACTACTACAACAACAACCACAACAATTACTACAACTACTACAACAATTACAATTACAACCACAACAACAATTACAACCACAACAACAACCACAACAACAATCACAACAACTACTACAACAACAACAATCACTACAACAACAACGACTACAACAACAACTGCCACTACTGCTCGAGTCGCGTGCTGGACGCGCCGTGGCCACCCTGTCGTCGCCCCTGGTGGAAATTCCACGTTACCATGGCGGTCCCCATGTCTTGTGACCCCCCACCCCACCACTCCTCCGCCAAATTAATTAACCCCTAACATTAGTTTACTAACCTGTAGCATATTCATTTCTGTTTTAAATAAACCTTTTAAAAAATGTTAAGTTTTAACAATTACATGGGAGGGGATAGGGGGGTGTCACAAGACATCTGGACCAGCATGTACAGTTTAGTAAACATTGATTATATTACCGATGTAACGGTTCGATAACTGAAAATATTGTGAGGGGGGATCAAAAAAACAAGTCACCGAGTGTGCCCCTGGACGGGTGGTGCATCGTGGGCGAGGCGCGGGTTGTACAGTCAAATCGGGGGTTTCCCGCCTTCGGAGAAATTCTGGGTACAGGTGAAGGCCGATGTTTTAATTTGATTATTAACGCCCAATTGATCACACCCAATAAGTAATCGATCGCTATTTTCCCTCAGTTAATTCGACTAAATCGTCCCAATCGCTCTAATTTCCATACAAAGTGCACGGTGCTTGCCGACCCCCGAGGGAGACGATGCCCTGAGCTGACGCCATTGCGATGTTGTTTCTACCAGGAGCGGTTTCTTCATTAGGGCGATTGGGCGACGCACCACCAATGTCATTGAACCACAGAGTCACGCTAGCCGTCACTGTGCCTCTGGATATAGTCCAATCAGCGTCATGTCACGTTCTGTGGAGTACCGCCTCTTTTTGGGCGATTTCACTCCGGCTGAGAATCGCCCCGAGTGGCCCCATAGACTTACATTCAAAGATGTTTTTTTTCGAACGGGGGGCGCTGCAATGCATTCTCTATGGCTCCGGGAGGGCTCGCACTAACGTGCTTACGTCATCATACGTAAGCACGTTTCATCCAACAATATAATTTGTCGCCACCTAGTGGAATCTTTAATAAAAGAAACTTGAGTGGATTGTATTAATAGTGAGTATAGAAACAAACAAGATGTATTGTAAGAGTCACTTTATTTGTCATTAATATTAAAGAAGTGAAGTTGCCTTTACATGCTTAAGCTGTTAATTTATCCATTGCATGGGTGGACCTTATCCTTATCAATCATCCAGACATTTGCCCCCCCTGAGAGATTTTGCAGGAGCCGCCACTGGTTTCTACTTCGTACTGGTAGGAACCTCCTGGTCATACCAACCCACAGGGGATTATTGTGTCCGTCCGTCGTGCAGGGAGGGGCTGGGGGGGGAGGGGAGGGTGGGGCTGGGTGGGGAGGGGAGGGTGGGGCTGGGTGGGGAGGCGCTGGGTGGGGAAGGAGGGGCTGGGTGGAGAGGGTGGGGCTGGGTGGGGAGGGGCTGGTCACCCCGTGGTGCCCTTATAAAACTCAACGTTTAACCTACTCACGCCGGCATGTGGCTATGTTAATGTGAGAGATTAGCATGTTGACGCTCTTGCCTCGTGGAGGCCACTCTTCGATCTCACATTAACACGCTAATCCCTCACATTAACATAGCCACTTCCGTACCCTCTAATTTCTCACTTTAACATCATACATTAACATAGCCACCACCGTGCCCTCTAATTTCTCACATTAACATAATGATAATCTTTCAAATTAACATAGCCACTTCCGTGCCCTCTAATTCCTCACATTAACATCATGCTAATCCCTCACATTAACATAGCCACTTCCGTGCCCTCAAATTTCTCACTTTAACATCATGCTAATCTCTCACATTAACATAGCCACTTCCGTGCCCTCTAATTTCTCACATTAACATCATGCTAATCCCTCACATTAACATAGCCACTTCCGTGCCCTCAAATTTCTCACTTTAACATCATGCTAATCTCTCACATTAACATAGCCACTTCCGTGCCCTCTAATTTCTCACATTAACATCATGCTAATCTCTCACATTAACATAGCCACTTCCATGTCCTCTAATTTCTCACTTTAACATCATGCTAATCTCTCACATTAACATAGCCACTTCCGTGCCCTCTAATTTCTCACATTAACATCATGCTAATCTCTCACATTAACATAGCCACTTCCGTGCCCTCTAATTTCTCACATTAACATCATGCTAATCTCTCACATTAACATAGCCACTTCCATGTCCTCTAATTTCTCACATTAACATCATGCTAATCCCTCACATTAACATAGCCACTTCCATGCCCTCTAATTTCTCACATTAACATCATGCTAATCTCTCGCATTAACATAGCCACTTCCGTACCCTCTAATTTCTCACATTAACATCATGCTAATCTCTCACATTAACATAGCCACTTCCGTGCCCTCTAATTTCTCACATTAACATCATGCTAATCCCTCACATTAACATAGCCACTTCCATGCCCTCTAATTTCTCACATTAACATCATGCTAATCTCTCACATTAACATAGCCACTTCCGTACCCTCTAATTTCTCACATTAACATCATGCTAATCTCTCACATTAACATAGCCACTTCCGTGCCCTCTAATTTCTCACATTAACATCATGCTAATCCCTCACATTAACATAGCCACTTCCATGCCCTCTAATTTCTCACATTAACATCATGCTAATCCCTCACATTAACATAGCCACTTCCGTGCCCTCTAATTTCTCACATTAACATCATGCTAATCCCTCACATTAACATAGCCACTTCCGTGCCCTCTAATTTCTCACATTAACATCATGCTAATCCCTCACATTAACATAGCCACTTCCGTGCCCTCTAATTTCTCACATTAACATCATGCTAATCCCTCACATTAACATAGCCACTTCCATGCCCTCTAATTTCTCACATTAACATCATGCTAATCCCTCACATTAACATAGCCACTTCCGTGCCCTCTAATTTCTCACATTAACATCATGCTAATCCCTCACATTAACATAGCCACTTCCGTGCCCTCTAATTTCTCACATTAACATCATGCTAATCCCTCACATTAACATAGCCACTTCCGTACCCTCTAATCTCTCACATTAACATCACTAGCCCCGGCCACTTCTTTATGACCCTTGGGCTACATCCATTTCAAACCTTTTAAAACAGTCTACGTCAGCAGCAGGCCAAGCTTTCCCACCTGATGACGGATGCTTGTGTTGCGCCCGAAACGTCGTGATTTATTTTATTTTCTACTCTACGTGACTTTACCGAAAGAACCAAAGAGTATGGATTCCTGCAGTCACGAAAGCTTCAAATCAACAACAGCAACATCATCATCATGCGATAATTTATTCAGCAAATAATTCGCAAAGAAAATGTTCAGTTGTTTTTGTAGGAGGTAACGGCGATTGTTGTTAAACACACGTACGCATTACCGCACTCGACTTTTGTACATATTTTTTTTCGCGCGTTCGTTAATTTAACGTCCATCTCGGCACAACAACAACAACAAACAAACAACAACAAGGGGCATGCGCACACAGCGACAGCCAAACCACACAGTCCCACCACACACATCGCTTCAACGTTGGTTCAACGTTGGCATGTGATTGGGACCCATGGCCGAACGTTGACCCCCATGGCTGAACGTTGACCCCAATAGTGCGCTGTGGTATCGTAGCGCTGGGTCAAATGCTAGCTCCCTCGCCTGGTACGGAGAAGGTAGTGGATTATATCCCGACCCTGACGATGCTTGTTGCACATTTGGAGTTCACGTGGCTCTCTTTCTTTCTCTCTCCCCGCGGTGGTCGCGTGGATTTTTCTCCGGGTCCTCCGATTTTTTTTCCCCTCCATACTTAGAAACGTGCGTTTCGATCATTTGACTTCCGTAAAAATAAAAATCCCACGTGTGATAGTCCCTCTCTCTCCCTAAACTCCCCCGTTAACACAACTGACGTGAAATTTCGATTTAAAGCTTTCGTGACTGCAGGGATTCATCTTCTTGTTTCTTTGGGCAAAGTCACGTAGAAGGGAAATAATAAAATAATAAGAATAAAACAAAATGAAATACAATTCTCACGACGTTTCGGCCACAACGCAAGCAGCCGTCCTCAGGTGAAGAACAGGTCTGTCGGAAAGACAGCGTCTGAATGACCTGTTCTTCACCTGATGACGGCTGCTTGCGTTGTGGCCGAAACGTCGTGAGAATTTTATTTTATTATGTTTCTTTTTATTATTTCCCTTCTACGTGACTTTACCGAAAGAACCAAGAAGACAACTGACGTGCTTGCGTTCGTGGATGGAATTCCTTTCCAGCTCAGACCCCGCTTGCTTGCCCATCGCCACATAAATAACCTCTTGTTGTAACAGCTCTCTCGCTGGTCCAGCAGTTCCACTGCTGGATTATATTTTTTCCTACCTGAGGACGACCGCTTGTGTTTTATTTTTATTATTGTATTACTTCCCTTCTACGTGACTTTACCGAAAGAACCAATAAGATGACTCCCTGCAGCCACGAAAGCTTTAAATCGAAATTTAACGTCGTGATGTATTTTATTTTCTACCCACGTGACTTTACCGAAAGAACCAAAGAGAATGGATTCCTGCAGTTACGAAAGCTTCAAATCAAGATTGACGTGATAATAATCCGCTTTGATAAGTTGTCATGTGTGGCCACGTCGCCTCAATAAGAGCTCATGGCTCAGTGTGCGGCTTTACCTGGCAAAAATAATAATAATAATATGCTCTTTCTAGATTTGAAGCTTTCGTGACTGCAAGGATTCATATTCTTGGGTTTTTTCGGTAAAGTGACGTAGGTATAAAATTAAAAATTAAAATTAATAAAAGTTAAATGAAAGTAAAATAAAAATCACGACATTTCGGAGGCAACACAAGCTTCCGTCTTCAGGTGGAACCGTCACAGCACGATTGCTGTATCAAGTAAATGAGAAATTGATACAGCAATCGTGCTGTGACGGTTCCACCTGAAGACGGAAGCTTGTGTTGCCTCCGAAACGTCGTGATTTTTATTTTACTTTTATTAGTTTAAATTTGTTACCTACGTGACTTTACCGAAAAAACCCAAAAATATAATATGTTCTGCAGAATGAAAATGACCAAGTCACTGAAATTTACGGGAGGATATTGCTGTTCAGCTTGGCCATGCGTGTCTTTCACGCGGGAGTGTGATCGAGTGGCGTTAAAGTTTTAAAAGTGGATGTCAGTGGGTACAGACTGATGATGGCGATGGTTTGACTCGCAGATGTCCTCAAGTGCTCTATGCTTCTGGTATTAACGAGGTTGCAACTCCCAATGGGATAAATGCGTACGAGTAGCTTGGGGGCGGGGCATGGTAGCCTTGAGAATGATAGAGTTTGACTATCTTCTTGGTTCTTTCGGTAAAGTCACGTAGAAGGGAAGTAATAAAATAATAAAAATATAACATAATAAAATAAAATAATTCTCACGACGTTTCGGCTACAACGCAAGCAGCCGTGTTCAGGTGTTGTAGCCGAAACGTCGTGAGAATTATTTTATTTTATTGTGTTTTATTTTTTTATTATTTTATTACTTCCCTTCTACGTGACTTTACCGAAAAAACCAAGAAGATGAATCCCTGCAGTCACGAAAGCTTTAAATCAGAGTTTGACTAACTTCACGTGTTAGTATCATCTGGAACGAAAAGTGCAGGTCAAGCCTTTGGACTCCGTTCAAATTTCACAGCAAGATGTGGTACACACACTCGAGCGTGCCATCACGGCATCGGTTACGACTACACTGCAACTGATGATCCTAAATTATAGCGACTCCTGTACGCAATTGTCGTGCAGAAGGACAGGGCTACATTGTCAATGGTGATTCAACACGACAGCAACTCCGTACCAAACTGTCATAGAACAGGGCTACACTGTTACTGATGATTCCTAATGATGGTGAACCCATGACAAAGTTATCACGTGGCAGCAAGGGTACACTGTCACTGATGATGCCTAATGATTGTGAAACCATTACACAGTCTAATATAATAATAGGGTTTTCCCCTTTTTTTCTGGCTACAAAACTGAAACCTTTTTACGAGGATTCATGTCTGCATTAACCACAATACTTGCAGTCAAAATGCAAACAAAAACACACTCTGATAATATATGCATTGTCCTTGAAACTGATTGGTCCACACCAGGGACAGCTTTCTTTTGAGCCTCGACCCAATTGGTGCTCGACCAGAGGACGCCAAAAGGCGTACAGCTCAAAGACAATGCAACATCAAAGTAATGAGAACTCGGGGTGAGCATCTACATCATTAGACCTCCTTTGCCAGTACCAAAATATAATAATAGGATTTTCCCCTTTTTGCAGACATGAATCCTCGTAAAAAGGTTTCAGTTTTGTTGCCAGAAAAAAGAGGAAACCCCTATTTTTATAATTTGGTACTGTCAAAGGAGGTGTAATGACATTACACAGTCGTCATGTGTGTCTGCAACTGTCACCGATGATTGTGAAACCATTACACAGTCGTCACGTGTGGCTGCAACAGGGCTACACGATCACTAATGAGCTCTCAATATGCCGAATCCTGCACCCAATTGTCACGCAAGCCAACAGGACAATGCCACACTGACGATACCCGACAATGGTGAAACCATCACGCGGTTGTCATGTTGGGATGGAGGCGAGGGGAGGGGCGGGGGGGGGGCTTTGCAAGACCGCACGATCACTGATGAGCCCAAATGCAAGTGAAGCCAGTTTACAGTTAGAGCGACTACACGTTCATCACGTTTGATATTTAAAGCGCCTTGCACATTATGGGCTCATATGCGTGGACACAAATGGCATGACGATATCAAAAGCGCGTATTGGTGTTTTTTTTATAGTAGTGAACTCTTTCTATATTCTCGATATAATTGAAGAAATGTGAAGTCGAAAGGGTCATCGATGTTGTTCGTTTTGCTCAAATGGACACTTCGAGGTGGTGCGCATCTCCTGTTGTTTTACAGTCCTAAGCCAGTGCTGGGAATCCCACATTCCACGGGGAAATTACTTCTTACCAAACTGGTACCTTTTTTATCGACCCTAGAGGGCTGATGGGCCGGGTCAGCCCCCGTAACTCGCCATCTTCTGAGCGCGAGCTGGCTCGCACTGCCGCTGAGCCACATGACCAGTCAAATAACAATAATAAAAATGACAATGTTATAATTGTTTTTTTACCCTTTTATCTGGCAACAAAACTGACACCTTTTTTACAAGGAGTCATGTTTGCATAGACCACAATACCTGCAGTCATAATGCAAACAAAAACATAGCTCTGATAATGTATGCACTGTCCTCGAAGTTGATTGGTCCACATCCGAGACAGCTTTCCTTAGAGCCTAGTCTCACATGGTGTTGGACCAGATGACACCAAAAGGCGCACATCTCAAAGACAATGCACCATCAGAGTATGAGAGCTCGGGGTAAGCATTTACACCATTGGAACCTCATTTGCCAGAAGAAAAAATATGATAATTGTTTTTTAACCCTTTTATCTGGCAACAAAACTGACACCTTTTTTACAAGGAGTCATGTTTGCATAGACCACAATACCTGCAGTCATAATGCAAACAAAAAACATAACTCTGATAATGTATGCACTGTCCTTGAAGTTGATTGGTCCACACCCAAGACAGCTTTCCTTAGAGCCTAGTCTCACATGGGTTGGACCAGATGACGCCAAAAGGCAATCTTCAGAATACTGCCTCGCAGGGATAGCGTACACTCCTCCACAAGAGATCAAACTCACTCGGCAAGGGGACAGCGCCAACATCATGTGAAGTAACCATCGTCGTCGTCATCATCAACAAGCCAGGAGCTATCCACTGCTGGATGAAGGCCTCCGCCAGTCACCGTCGCCTCGCGGTCCATTTGCCGACCGAACATCCGTGGGTCTCTGCCTCCTGCGCTTGGAGCCGAACTCATTTGCTCCATCTCCGCAGAGGTCGTCCTCTTGGGCACGTCGTGAAATAACAATGCAGCAGTAGTAGTCACAATAACAACAACAACAACGTTAAAACGATACCTCGAAAAGCGCTCGTAAATTACATCCGACATTCAAATCCAGAGACCGATTATGGTTTGGGAGGGCTGGTTGATGGGGGGTCAACACTCACCGACTGATTACACTGTTCAACACACTTTTTCTGGCATAAGGTATTCCAACGGTTTTAAGGTAATTTTGGGGTGCTGATTCCAAATCTGGCATCGGTTTTTGTCTATCACGTCAGGTTTTTGAGATATCAAATATTGCATTTTCAATAAGAACTGCGGAAGAAAAATATTAAATAAATGTGGATATCTACATAAAATTATATTATAAACACACTATCCTAAAAATACACCACCATATTTTAACACTAAAGCAGTCACTGACTCGCAACAACAGAGTTAATTTCGGGTAAAATCAATGAAAATGGGGTATGCCGATAGCATAAAAATGAGATGTGATAGAGCAAATCTGAGATCAGATTTAGAATTAGCACCCTGGAATTAGTCAAAAACAGCTGCAAAAGTCTAGGCAAGAAAAAAATGTTTTTTTTGTGTTGACCAGTGTAATTCTATTCACTCACGGTCCCAACAACACTCACCACGCCGAAGGGTGTCGCGGCGGCGGCTTCGTTAATGACCGATAGCAAGTGAGGGTGGGTGGGTTGGTGGTGGTGGTGTGGTGGGGAGCCAGAGCCAACTCAACGATGGACACCACGAGAGGCGAGGTCAAGAGGTCAAGGCGACTTCTATCCGTCGGAGGACGGCGGAGTGACCCATCCGTATTTCTCGTGGGTCTTCACGAGGCTACGGAACGTCGCATGCGCCTCCTTTCTCGTGAACGCCTTCTTCTTGCGGCTGATTCGCCCCTGGGAGGCGGGGGGGAGGAGGGGGTGGAGGGTGGCGAGACAAAGAAGAAAAATCACGCACACGCATGGCACATCTACACTATTAAAGTCAACATTTTTTTATTTTACGAGCTAAGGCCCACTGAACTATATCAGCGACCTGGCCACAGATGATAGCCCAACCACGTGACTTGTCATCACGTGGAAATTTATAGCAGCCAAATCACTCGAAACGCGTTGACGTGGATTCTAGATGTGTTGGGAAAACCCGGAGGACCTGGAGAAAAAGACCACACGACCACTGGGTAAGAGACACGCAATAAAATAAACTTCTGCAAGACTCTACATATCTTCACACTTACCTTCCCGTAGAATCTAAAGGAGATATTTTGTGTTATTTTTTTTTAAAGCACACGTGTAGTAGCTACACGTGTAGTAGCTACTACACATGCAGCTACTGCATGTGTAGCTACATATGTAGTAGCTACTACATGTGTAGTTCCTACATGTGTAGCTACATATGTGCAGTTCCTACACTTATAGCTACTACACGTGTAGTAGCTGCATGTGTTGTAGCTACTACATGTGTAGTAGCTACTAAATATGTAGTAGCTACTACACGTGCAGCTACTTTGCCTAATATGATAATCCGGCACTGGCAGGAATCGAACTCGGGTCGCAGTGCGCTAACCACCGCGCCACCGCCCCTCATGAAATCCCACCACCAAACCTTGACACTTGCAACCTTTTAGTTTATTGTTTTGGTCGTTTTCATCATTCTAAATGTGCAATCTGTGTCATGAATCGCGGTGTCCGTTTGGACCGTGGCAGAGCAGTGCTACCCTCCCCGTGTTAGCGAACGGTCTGCAGAAGAGGATAACACAGAACTACATCTGTGATGCCTGCAAGTGTCACCTCTCATCCACCACCACCACCAAGATCTCCTGCATTGCCTGTCACAGATTATTGGGGCAAGTGCTGCTAGCGAGCACCTATGGATGCCGGCACGGGCACACGAGGGGGTGGGTGGCCAGCAGCCACGCCCGGCCGCCTTTGTCTCCCCAGTCGTGATGTCTACACACCGCACCAGGTACTCAATTAAGGCTGAGTCGACCTAGGAGAGGCCCGGGACCGGTTCAGATAATCGTCACTGGTGGTGTTGGTGGCCGTGAGCAGCACAGAGTGCTCACCGCTACACTGCCACTCCTAGGTCGACTCAGCCTTAATTGAGTACCTGGTGCGGTGTGTAGACATCACCACTGACACTCACCCACAGCGCACCACCAACAACTGCCATTCGCCACTAAGTGGCGCTTGTGCCAGGCTAGGTGCACGTTGAGGCCACGTGAAGTGTCGAACGCCCGTCGGCAGGAGGTCACGGGGCAGACCCAGCAGGTGCCACGGGTCGACTGACTGAGATGACTGAGATGACCGGCCGATGCATTGCACCACCTCCACGCGAACCACCACCACCACAACCACCACGATCACCACCCACCACCACCACCACCTCCCACCACCACCACGACCACCACCCACCACAACCACCACCTCCCACCACCACCTCCCACCTCCACAACTTCCCACCTCCACCACCACCATCACTACCCACCACCTCCATCCGAACCATCTCCACCCGAACCATCACCACCCACCACCACCACCACCCACCACCACCTACATCACCACCACGCACCACCTACATTACCACCCACCCTACCCCCCTCACCCACCCACCCACCCCCCTCACCCACCCCCCTCACCCACCCCCCCCCCTCACCTGCCCCTTCACGAGGCTGGCGGCGAACTGCCTTACGAGCGCCTCCACGGTGTAGGCGCTGGACCAGCCCTTGGGCGTGAGCAGCTCCATGCAGATGGCGCCGCCGTCGAGCACGAAGCCGTTGTCGATGCGCGGGCTGAGCACGCGCATGAAGGGCGGCGAGAAGGGGAAGCTCTCGGGGAAGGTCAGGTTGAGGAGGACGCCGTCGGCGCCCGCCTCGCGCAAGTCCTGCCACAGGGCCGACTCGAGGTCGATCTGCCGCAGGGTGACGTTCCACTCGAAGAGGCTCTCGCCCACGAGCTCCACGCTGAGCACCTCGTGGCCGAGGCGGCTCAGCTCGGACAGCTCCTTCATGAGGCGGCGGGCGCGCACCTGGCGGCAGTGGCTGGAGCTCGCGGCTGATGATGCTGATGCTGCCGCGCGCGGATGCTGCTGCTGATGATGGTGCTGCTGATGGTGCTGATGATGATGCTGCTGCTGCTGATGATGCTGCTGATGATGATGATTTTGCTGCTGCTGCTGTTGCTGTTTCTTGGTGTCCGAGGCGCTGTCCTTGGTACCGGAATCGTTGAGAACGCCCGCGAGATGCTGCTGCTGTTGATGCTGCTGATGATGCTGTTGCTGCTGCTGATGCCGCTGTGCTCCGCCGGTGCTGCTGCTGCTGATGCTGTTCGCCCTCAACACGTCCACGCTGACCATGCCCTTCCTGGACACCTTCGGGCTGCGCGTCACGACGGGCGGACGCAGGCGGCTGAAGCCGATTTTGCGCAGGAGGGTGGCCATTTTCGTTTAACGCAAACACGTCTGTGTGTGTGTGTATGTGTGTGTGCCGGATTTTAATTGTTTAAACGGGAAAACAATTAGAATACCAGTTCTGCTGTACGCCGCGTACGTGTGTGTGCGTGTGTGTGTACGTGCGTACGTATGTGTGCGCGTGTGTGTACGTGCGTACGTGCGTGTGTGTGTACGTGTGTGCGTGTGTACGTGTGTGTGTGTACGTGTGTGTGTACGTGCGTGTGTGTGTGTGTACGTGTGTGTGTGTGTACGTGTGTACGTGTGTGTGTGCGTGTGTGTGTGTACGTGTGTACGTGTGTGTGTGTGTACGTGTGTACGTGTGTGTGTGCGTGTGTGTGTGTACGTGTGTACGTGTGTGTGTGCGTGTGTGTGTGTGTGTACGTGTGTGTGTGTGTACGTGTGTACGTGTGTGTGTGCGTGTGTGTGTGTACGTGTGTACGTGTGTGTGTGCTTCCGTGTCCTTGCGGTGTCCAGCGCGCGCCGTGTGAATTAGATTTGGGGGTCGCGCATCTTGAATAATGGAGCGGGCGGGCGCCACTGAATGTTGCAGCGATGGCGACCCCACGCGGAGCTCGGCGACAACACACAGACCCCTCCCTCCTCCTCCTCCTACCCACCCACCACCACATGTCACTCCCACCCACCATCGCCTCCCACCCTCCCTCCTCCTACCCACCCACCCACCACACATGTCACTCCCACCCACCATCTCCTCCCACCCTCCCTCCTCCTCCTCCTACCCACCCACCACCACACATCTCACTCCTCCTCCCACCCACAATCTCATCCTCCCCCCCACCCACCCACCACGGCATACATCTCACTTCCACCCACCATCTCCTTCCCCCCTCCACCCACCCACCATGGCATAGAGCTTACTCCCACCCACCATATCCCCCCACCCACCCACCTACCACAGCATGCATCTCACTCCCATCCGCCATCTCCTCCCTCCCACCCACCCACCACGGCATACATCTCACTCCCACCCACCATCTCCTCCCACCCACCTCACACCCATCACACTCACACCCATCACTCCCCTCCAACCTCACCCCCATCACACCCATCACTCCCCTCCAACATCGCCGCCCACGTCACACCGTCACACTCCCCCGCCCGTGACTCGCTGGCCCCAATCCACCACAACCACTCATCACTGCACCCCCCGTGTCTCTCCCAGGTAACAACCTCGCAGGCGGGCGGCGCTGCAAACCTACTTGCTGTACTGGCACAGCCCCTGCCGCCTTCGCGCGAACCCCAGCGGGTCGGGTGCCTTCCTCTGGCACACGCTGTGACAACTCCCATCTCAGCGTGACCCACCAACCCCGCCCTCAAAGCTGCCGAGCGAGGGTGACCCTGCACCATTTAAAATTGATCGCGGCTGTAATTCCATCCGTGGTGGCTGCCCGACTCCCTTGGGCTCTTGAAGGCTGCCTCCGCCCCACTCCTGCTCGTCTGGGCGCGCCGCGGTGGCTAGGAGATGTTAACTACCTCGCCTGGTACGCAGGAGGTCGTGGGTGCGATCCCGACCCTGACGCCTGCTGCTGTATATTTGGAGTTTGCGTGTCTCTCTCTCATCATCACGGTGGCTAGGATATGTTAACTACCTCGCCTGGTACGCAGGAGGTCGTGGGTTCGATCCCGACCCTGACGCTTGCCAGAGGTCGCGATCGGGTACCCAATACCCGTACCCTACCCGATATCCGGCTACCCGTACCCGGCCAGGTACCCGTTTGCGACCCTGGTGCGGCCGGGTACGGAATCAAACCCCGTTTGCGACCTCTGACGCTTGCTGCTGTGTATTTGGAGTTTGCGTGTCTCTCTCTCATCATCATCACGGTGGTGAGATGTTAACTACCTCGCCTGGTACGCAGGAGGTCGTGGGTGCGATCCCGACCCTGACGCCTGCTACTGTATATTTGGAGTTTGCGTGTCTCTCTCTCATCATCATCACGGTGGCTAGGAGATGTTAACTCCCTCGCCTGGTATACAGGAGGTCGTGGGTTTGATCCTGTCTCTGACGCCTGCTGCTGTATATTTGAAGTTTGCATGTCTCTCATCATCATGATCACGGTGGCTAGGAGATGTTAACTACCTCGCCTGGTATACAGGAGGTCGTGGGTTCAATCCCGACCCTGACGCCTGTTGTATATTTTAAGTTTGTCATGTGTCTCTCTCTCTCTCCCCACTCCTTCGTGGTCGCGTTGTTTTGATCCGGGTCCTCCGTGTGTGTCCCTCCACATTTATATTCGAAGTGCGTTTGAAGTGTTTGGCTGCTGTAAATGTCCGCACGGTGATAACTCCACTTCGCTCAGCTGTCGTTTGTGGGCAGGTCGCTTCTGCAAAAGAGCTACACAGATCAGGGGCATTTACACCATTGGAACCTCATTTGCCAGTAAGAAATCTGATAATAGTTTTTTTACCCTTTTATCTGGCAACAAAACTGACACCTTTTTTTACAAGGAGTCATGTTTGCATAGACCACAATACCTGCAGCCATAATGCAAACAAAAAACACAGCTCTGATAATATATGCACTGCCCTTGAAGTTGATTGGTCTTTAGAGCCTGGTTTAACACCAAAAGGCGTCCTCTGGTCTAACACCGTTTTGAGACGAGGCTCTAAAGAAAGCTGTCTCTGGTGTGGACCAATCAGTTTCAAACACAATGCCATCATAGTCTACCAGAGCATGTGTTTGTGTATGCATGTTCACCACAATTATATGGGGTTAATGCAGGCAGGATTACTTGAAATAAGTAATATTTAAAAATATATTTTTTAAACACGCTTTAATGAAATGTACCGTAACTATTTCGATTTAAAGCTTTCGTGACTGCAGGAATTCATCTTCTTGGTTCTTTCGGTAAAGGCACGTAGAAGGGAAGTAATAAAATAATAAAAATAAAAATAATAAAATAATTCTCACGACGTTTCGGCCACAACGCAAGCAGCCGTCCTCAGGTGACGCTGTCTCCCCGACGGACCTGGTCTTCACCTGAGGACGGCTGCTTGCGTTGTGGCCGAAACGTCGTGAGAATTATTTTATTATGTTCTATTTTTATTATTTTATTACTTCCCTTCTACGTGACTTTACCGAAAGAACCAAGAAGATGTACCGTAACTAGTAATGGCAGAACTGCACGACTCCAGGACGTGGCCCCGAGGCTTGCCACAACGTAAGGGGCAATGGCCAATTACATCCAACGTCAGTTGAGCTTGGACAATTAGACCCAAGCCGAAACATCTTCTAACCTATAAACGTCACTTTTTGTCTGTCCGTCTGTCCGTCTGTCCCTCTGCGTACGCTCGCTTTGGACGGATTTGGCGCTCAGGCCGTGGGGTTTAGGAAGAACTAATTTTGCAGGTGGGCACGCCCCCGGCCCCGCGGTGACCGTAGGCATTTCAGATTTTTCGTCCGTCGCCTTTACATCGGTCCGATTATCGATTTCGTCTGATTTATCTTATTTATTTACTCTTTATTTATTTATTTACTATTACTCTTGCCGACCGGCGCTGACCACGGCGGTTGCCCCTGGCAACGGGTAGCGACGCTTTCGCTGCGGGGTGGACGCCATTTTTAATTCCCGTTAAAAATATGCGCACGCATTAACACGCGACGCTGAGGTAAATACATCAAAGTTTCACTTCCCCCCCACTGTGTGCACTTACTATTATAGGGTCGGTAGATAATATAATTATAGCGCTTATACAGTATTTTTGTAGCGCGGGGGGGGGGGGGGGGGTGGTAGCGGCCCAGCCCCTAGCCTCAGCCGGGTGGCCCATCTAGGCGAGGCCGGAGGCTCTGCACGGCACTAGGCCTCCACACCCCACACGTGTCAGGAGAATACTTTTTGTGCTATAAACTCGATATACCCAGCGTTGCCCGGGGGGGAAATACATTTAAAATCTTCTGAAAACTTTAAAATATTACATACGAATGAAAATACAACTGTGTAATAACATATAAAAAAGATTGTTTAATTTTTTTTTTAATGACGCAATATAGTATTGTCATCAGTATGACATAAGTATACCAAGTTTGCAGTCGATACCACATTGGGAAGTGGGTTAAAATTGAGTTACAAGATTTGAGGATACGACAACAACAGACAGAGCGAGTGAAATAAAAGCGTGTAAAATAAAAAATAAAGGATTCTGTTTGATGTTTTAACATCTTAACACAACCTCTTTTATCGCCAGAAAGGTTAACACCTATTCTTATATGTCGATACTGGCAAGGGAGGTTCCCATAAAAACAAAGTAAGCAACTTTAAATAGCGATGAGTTTTTTCAAGGGACCTCCTTTGCCAGTACCAAAATATACTAATAGGGGTTTTCCCCTTTTTTCTGGCAACAAAACTGACACCTTTTGCAAGGAATCATGTTTACATTAACCACAATACTTGCAGTCAAATGCAAACAAAAAAACTGACACCTTTTGCAAGGAATCATGCTTACATTAACCACAATACTTGCAGTCAAATGCAAACAAAAACAATACTCTGATAATTTATGCATTGTCTTTGAAACTGATTGGTACTGGCAAAGGAGATCCCATGATGTAGCTGCTCACCCCGAGCTCTCATTACTCTGGTAGTGCGTTGTCTTTGAACTGTGCGCCTTTTGGCGTCATCTGGTCGAACACCAATATGAGACAAGGCTCTAAAGAAAGCTGTCTCTGGTGTGGACCAATCCGTTTCAAAGACAATGCATAAATTATCAGAGTATTGTTTTTGTTTGCATTTGACTGCAAGTATTGTGGTTAATGTAAGCATGATTCCTTGCAAAAGGTGTCAGTTTTGTAGCCAGAAAAAAGGGGAAAAACCCTTGATGAGTTTTTTGTTAAAATCCAGCGCCCCCTTCCACCCCATCGTAGACTACCAGAGCATGTGTGTTTGTGTGTTTGCATGTTCATGTCTACTTCAGCAGTTTTGTCTTGCTGTGGTTGTCCCACCTGATGACGATTGCTTTGTGATGCGATCGAAACGTCACGATCTATTGTTTTTCTATCTGCGTGACTTTACCGAAAGAAGAGTAATATTGGTACTTTTAGTTTTTTCGGTAAAGTCACGTAGGTAAAAATTTTTAATTAAAATTAAATATAAAAAATCACGACGTTTCGGACTTTACCGAAAAAACCAAGAGTATGAATCCTTGCAGTCACGAAAGCTTCAAATCTAGAAGTAATATTGGTCTGGAAAGGCAATCGGCCAATGGATTTTCAAACGATTTGTTCTCGTATGCGGAGACGCAGATGTAAATGCCCACTAATGTTGCCTTTAAAGAAAAACGGTGGCGTTTTTCCGTTTATATATAAAAACATGCAAATTTAACACGTAGGCTTTCGCGACCTTTATATAAGAACTGCTGCTCTATATAAGAACGGGAGACAGAGCAGAGTCTCACCATTCTGGCGAATTGCCCGATGATGCTGGATGCAATTACCAGCGAAATGTCGTACTCAAATTGTAAATGTTGTGGTTTCACGCTTCAACACACCGGTGGGCTAAAGCAGTGAACTATTTGTCCTTTGTCAACGTGACACTTTTTTACTGATTGGCCGTG